TAATAATGTGGGAAAACTATTCTCCCCGAGAATTATTACACAGTGAAGATTAGCGGTGCTGGAGGCATTAATATTTCTGGGAATTCATTATAGCTCTTAAAGAATTCTAAAGAAATATCCAATCATTTCTATAAATTTAAAAAAACTCCTCATATATTATACATGAATAAAAAACTAAAGTAAAACAACAGCTGCTTGTCTGCTAGTTTTACTGCAATGCGTTGGAGGTTAAAATTATTGTAATAGGCAGAAATCCAAGTACAAGTAGGAAATAAATAATACTCCGTTAAAAGGTTATCTGTCCACATTCTGTAATTATATTTCTGGATAATGTATCTTGATACTGCAAGTGAGAATCCAATTGAAATTATATCCTCTTAAATTATAATACGTTACGCTTTTTTTTTTTAACTAATTACATTCTCATTGAACTGTTATAAGCCAAGTACACACCAATTGCATAGTTGCAGACTATTTTTAAATTATTAATAGCTCTTTTCGTTTGCGCTTTATTCATTTTATATTAAAGAATAAGTAAATATTAACCTTTAATGCACCACAATCAGACCGGTAGAATGAAAATTGTCTAGTTCCAGTTCAAGGATTATTAAAATAACCAACATTTTGCAACGGTGTCTCGAAAAATGTATGTAAACTTTTACTTTTTATTGTCTTTAGGATCCTGGATACTTCATACGTAAAGATAATCTTATGCAGCCTTATTTTGAAAACTTTTTGTGTTGTTTCCCAATTTAAATTTCAGAGAAGGATTAAGATATTCAGATAATGTATAAGCTTAAGTGTTATGTCTCTATAGACAAAAAAAATGCAATTAGCATTCTAACCATTAAATAGACATAATGGTATCAGAAAATTTTCCATGAGAAAAAAAGATTAGTATAATATTTTTAATATACAATAATTATAATAATAAAATAAACAAAAATAATAAAATAAAAGCAATCACAATGTTTTATTTTTTACTTTGGAAATAATAAAGTTTTTAGTGAGAAAATAATGTTTTAAAAACAGTTGTGCTCGTTTGAAATAAATTCACCATACATTAAAGGAAATACTTGTAAGTCTCGTAATGTCTTGTAAGTCTTGACAATGTAAGTCTTATTTCAAGTGCGTTGAGATTATTTGCGACAGTATTAGATATGGTTCTATAATTTCACAGTGTAATTTTTGGATTACATTGTTTTTTATTATTCCAGAAAGGTAAAAAAAAAATTAAAAGTTAAATAAATTCTAAAATTATTAAATAAAATTTATTTATTAAAATTATCAAACATAACATAATTTATGATAAAAGTATTAGGAACAATGCTAATGTTTCACCAATATCTATCTTTTAATTTAAATTTTTTGATTAAAAAAAGTCGAAACAATTTTTCGAAACCGAATCTAAAAACCAGTTCTTATTTTTTTTCTAAGAATTTAATTGTTCTTGCATTAAATATCAATGATGCTAATACATCAAAAGGAATATTTTCTGTCAAAGCCTATTACTTAATGTAATTAAATTAACTATTTAGTTATAAAAAATTAGCGACAAACATGCATCACTTTACGTTTAATGAGAAATGCCATATTAAGGATTCAGTTCAAGACGTTGTTTGGAACGCTGAGTTGGAAGGAATGATGGTCGACGTCATGATCTACATCATTACTAATCCTGAAGAAGTAGTCTCGCGACTGAGTGGTGCTGCCATCTGTATTTGGGGTTCGACTCTAAGACGTACTTTCACCCTTGCAGGGCTCTCTTGTCAAAAGAAAGGCATAACTTCCTGACTTATTTATAAAAACCATTAACAACACAAAAGAGACAAATTTCACAAAAATAACACATTTTTATTTCCACTTTCACTACCTTCATTTCCATAGCATAAACACAAATTTCTTAAAATGTATTTGGATTCAAACGTTGAACACATTTCTAAGAGAAGATGTTTTGGCTAGATTTCAAATATATTTATTACAAGCGGAAAGACAGTGGACGTTACACAGCTATTTTTATGAAATGGAGAAGGAAGAAATATATATGTATTTGAGTTACAATCATTAGACACAGCATTTGAAAATCACAATAAATATTAATATTTTAATTTTGATATGATAGTAATTTGTGTCTAGATAAAAATGCATCATCTCTTGAAATACATTAATTGCACATAAATTATCTATTATATATTCTTAACACTATTCCCAAAGCTATGACTTAGGGATTTTATATAGGATCACAGTATAGTCTTCTAGCAGCAAAATCTGAAATATTTTATATTTTTTAAAATATTTTACGTAGGTAATGAAGCAATAGAATAATTCAAAAATAGAACTGCTTAAAACGCAGAGCTGCGTAATTATAAAATGCTTTCAAAACGTGCGTGAACGTTTTAGTATGTGATGTGATATATTTTCCCAACAGATAAGCGTACTTTCAAAAGTATAATGTTTTGTTTGAAAAAATAATGATTTATACAAATTCTTAAAACGCTAATTTACAAAATACTTCGTTTTCAATTTTATATAGCCTTTTGCTTTCTTATGTCAAGTATGTCACTATATCAATGAAAAAATAATTGCCACTCTAAATCGTAATGAATTCTGATCAGATGGCTTATTAACCACCTTATTCCGTGAATATTTTCAGATATTATATTAAACGTAAGAAATATTAGATACTATAAGAAGAGAATTCAGATATTATATAAAACGTAAATTATAAATAACTAGTTATTTTTTAATTTATGTGGTTGCTATGATTTACCTGATCTTCAAAATTCTTCGACAGTTTAATTTTCTTAGAAAATAATGTGCAATAATATTTAAAACACGAATAATAAATGTTTCAACTTAAAATTCTGTATTATATTTCACACATACATATAGTACAAACACATGGCATCCTTGAAAACAAATTGTATAAATAGAAAAAACAATTTGCACAACAGGCATTATTTTGTGGGTCAATATAAATAATATTTTTGAAGCAGTTTTTAGAGATCTGACTTAAGCAAAATGGTTGAAAGAATCACACGTAGAATTAATTACACACATAGTGTTTTCTTCACAATCAGAAACTGCTATGTCTTAAATATTATTTATGATTGAAACTTTAAAGAAATATTTAAAATTATTCAAAAACAATGTCGGGGGAAGATATTGTTGAATATCCCTATATCTTTTGCCGTGGAATATTTAAGTCTGAAATAAAGGATTTTACAATTTAGTCTAGTTTGAAGTTTAATACTATATGATGAAAAAAAAACACTTAAATTTTTCACAGTGTAAAATGGTAGTTTGCTTTTCCAGTTTACAACTGCATCCATATAATTATTCATTTTTACGAGTCTCAAAGTTGCACTAAAACTAGTCACATAAAGTGGCTGCTTTTAATAAATTAAATTTATTCTTATACTCATGCTAATACTGTAAAATAAATTTTGAAATTTTGGATTATGAATGCTTTTTTAAACTAAAAATGCAGTCCCCTCATTTAGTTAGTAAGTGAAATTATTTAAGCAGTTTCTCTATAACTAATAACTAGTTACGTGAGCCAATAGCTCAAGCATACAACTTTAAAGTAAATTACTTTTTGGTTCAGAAATATGAAATCAATTTAAGTATTTTAAGGAAAACAGTTTAAAATTATCTTCTAATCCTAATATATCTTACGTATGAACAATTTAAGTAGTCCACTACTTAGCATTTCACAGATGACGTAACATTAAAAACATTTTTACAGCACCAAAATAAAATTATGAACTCAAGCATACTTGATGTGACTTTGAGTCATGCCCTTTTCATTTCATGTTCATGCCCTTTTCATTTCATGTATAAGAAACGCTTATGTGCGTTTTTATGAATATTATGCAGATATTAATATTAAAGTTTTTGAATGTGGTTGAATTATTTATTTGTTGGGGGTTTATTATGAGTTTTTAGTTATGTTGGTGAGTTATTTATCGTAGTAAGAGTTTTTTTTTCTTCATAAAACCACATTTTGAAGCCAGACATTTTTCTGACTTTTTCAAGCAAACTATGTCTAAATATATTTAAATTTATATTGCAAAAAAATACTTATTTCTTATTGTTTTCATCTAACAACTTCCTACTACATTTACCTTTTCCCTTCTACCTTTGTGAACAACCTTTTCACCTCATTATCTTTAAGTAACAAAGTTAATCCCAAGTTTGGAATAACTAGTGCCAATACAGAATTGAAGTTATTTTCGAAGAGAATGAATTATTATATCTTAGACATTTTAGTTATGCACTTTTAAAATATCTGTCATATAATTTTAAAATGTTCAGGGTATTTGCGCTATTTAAAAAGTTATTTATGCTATTATTCAAACTATTTTCGTGTTTTAATGTAAATTCACTGTTAATGAAGATAAGTTATTTGAAATATATTGCTAAGGTGGATTGCATAATTTTTTCTCAGAATATAATACGATTTAATATAATCAGTTCAAAAATCAGTTTTGTTTTTCATAATTTTTAGGAGAATTAATTTTGAAAATGAAACCAAAAGCCGAGGGAAATCTTTTTTATTTTCGGTTTTATGACTTGGAAGGAAGAGTTTGAGAACACATAAAATTTTGAAATCCTTAATGAAATTCGTGAATATTTCAGGAAAAGTAAACTTAGGGATTTTTTGAAGTTTATTTTTATTCTTGAATGTATTTTGTTTCGATAATATGCTTATGTAAATTAAATATTTACTGAAAAAAATATTGAATGGCTTGAAATTGCATTTGGAGTAATATTTATAATTGCTTTACTAGTTAACTTTTCGTAGTAATAACAGATTAAACAGATTAAAATTTCTGCTATTTTATAATTTCTGTTATTCCATAGAATCAAAGAATAATATTTTTTTGTCGTCTGATTTAGAGTTTTTTGGTGGTTAAAAATATAAAATGATTGTTACTTAGAGATTTTCAATACGCATATTGAACTAAAACTGCAATGAAAAACATTCCATGCAAGTGTAAGTGATATAAAACATTATTATTATTAACTGAATTACATTAGCAAGCAAGTTTTACAATAAATTGTGGTAAAGATTTTTTCAAGCTCACATTGAGAAGCATGCTTGAACGTAAGTCAGTGGTGACGTATTATCAGTTCATCTTCAGCTAAGATATGTAAAAATATATAAAATTAACAAGTTGTTAATTTTAATGCAATAAAAAATGAATATAAATGAAAAACATATAAAATTTGGTGTATGTACGTAATAAAATAAAATATCCTGCATAGAATTTGAACGAATTACTAATTTGTCAGTTTTAACAGTATTTACTCTACAATTTTTTTAGGAAGTAAAGCATATTTATAATTATGGATAATATAGAAATATTGAAAACTAATAAAAATCACGATCATAGCACCAGAATTATTCAAGATTCAGTAAAATACATTTCTATGGATATCCTTATTATGGTGCTTTGTTAACTGTAATAATTAAATCTTTATTCTTCGATTAAAGTGATCGAATTTAGATTATTTTGATAAAAAGATTTTGTGGAGTAAAATATAAATTGATGTTGGCACAATGGAGTTAATAAAGTTACAAAGAAAGAGTGCAACACTTGAACGCTAACACATATCTATAGTTTAGTATTGATTTAAGTAATGACATTAAAAAAATGATAACTACTGAGTTTATTATTATACGTTAGACTGAACCAAAAAAAAAGCCAAAAGGAGTTGTATTGAAATGTGCTTACTTAACATTTCCCGAGGATGTTTGGGTTTTAGTGGTACAGCATGTTAAGTGACTTAGTTATTAGAAACATTCTGCTGAAACTTTTAACTGATGGTGGTTTTGGTGATAATGAGGCAATTTTAAATCTTTGGCTAACCATGAGCTTACACATTTTGATTATCTCATCTGATAACATATAAGTTCTTTTGGGTGAAACATCTGTTTCTGTTGCCTTTAAACATTGTATAATTCTGCCAGTTATAAAACAGTTAGTTAATGAACTGAAAAATACCAAAAACTTTAAAATTATATGCAAAATAGTAAAAATAAGCACAACTTTTATGATTTTATGCAAATATAATCAATTTCCTATGAAGTATTTACGCATTTGCAGTTACAGGGAAGGTACCGCAAATGACACCCGCCAATCACGTTTATATTTTTATCTGACAATACGTTTGAACAAAAGTTAATGATATATGACAGAAAAAAAACTTTGCAATAACTTTTAATTGAGATGTTTGCCATCAAAAAAGAATTTTTTTCATCTAGTCAAAACACGTTTGATTTACATCTCGTAGAAGAGAGAAGGCCTCCACACGGATCAATTTAGTAGTCCGTTGTAACGAACATAAACTGCGCTGTGGAGGTAATAACGAAATATATCATTGCGTCTGGACTACTAAATGATCAAATATTTTGTTTATGTTAACCCATGCTGAGGCCTTCTCTTTTCCAGGAGGTTTAATCCATTCAAGTTTTATTCAGTTAGTTCTGTATTACATGATTGGCACTTAAATCTGTGCGGTAAATAATTTAAATTCTAGAATTCTTTGATGCATTTAGGCATTTTAAATAAAATTGACTTTTTTAAAATGTATATGTCTATAACAATAGCAAAATATGTAAAATTTCTTTCTTGTGTCTGTGTTTGGCAAATTACATTTTGGGTGTCTATCTTGAAGTACTCTTGATTTTAATAACAGATAACGAAAATGCATCGCATTTCATTTACAACCCTAACATATTAAATATCTTTATTTTCAAAACAAAGCTTTGGATCTTTATAAATATAAAAAAATCATCATATATATATTCAGCTGATTACTGCTGTTCCAATAAGTTATAAAACTACTTTATAAAAACTACTTTATGACTCCATTATTATTATGACACTTTTGAAGTTTTATAATACACTTAAATTTGGACAAAAAGCTGACTTAAATATTTAAAACAGAAACAAAAATATATTTTTTAAATAATAACTATATCGATACGTTCATATTGTCCACACTCTAACTTTTTCAGCTATTATACACCAATGAAATTGGTCTTTAAATGTCTCTAAAATATGCAAGTCATCAACGAAGTTTTCTATTAGGTCATCAAGCTCATCTTGTTCAAATAAATGATGATATCTATGCATAGCAACAGAAGCACCTTCTTCCTGTACATTTCCATAAGAATAATTTATATTTTGGGGCATTGAATCAACCTGCTTATTTCGTGTTCTTTGAGTAGAATTTTCTTGAGAAGTTTGAGAATAATTATTTAGTTTTGATCGAAGTTTACTACTGTCTTTGCTCTCAGAATTAAATCTACTGGAGTTCAGGGAATATTGTTTTTTAGCAGCAAAATCCTGACAGGAATGAATATTTATAAATGAAGAATGTTTCGGTTTAGCACCATTTTGGGTTTGAGAAGTAAATATATTTCTATTGGAATGTCTTTCGACACAATCAGTTTCTGATATGTAATTTGTGTTTTTCTCCGTTTCATTTTCAAAATAATCACTTGCAAAGTTATTATGATCCATTAGTGGAAGTTTTGATGATGATGACTTAGATAATAATTTAGTTTGGACGTTTTCTTTGTGAACAATATTTTCAAGCTCCTGAATTTTAAAATTTGTGTTATCTTGATATAAACCTTCAGTGACATTTTTGTCTTGGATGGGGTGTTTGAAAGAACGCAAGTTATTATTTGTAAGTTGCAAACAAACTTCACATTTTTTATCAATATGCTGGTTGTACATTGTCTCTGACATATTCAGAGAGAATTTGCGACCTACTGTTCCCATTCTACTATAAGATGTGAAATCCTCATTTTTTATTTTTATGTGCTTAGTCTGTGTTGATTGGCCACTAGCATGTTCATCGGATATTTCTGTCTCACCTTTTAAAGTAAAAACTAAATTCTTATGAGCAGAGTCACGAGTTTCATCCAGATTCGTTGATTTGTTTTGTTCAATAATTTTGGTGTGCGAAGTGCTTGTGCTTAAATTTCTTGGTATAGAGTTTTCAGTACAAACCATCTCATTTATTTTAGGAAATTCTGGGAGAATTTGAAACTGCCTTGAAGCTGCTGTTAACTCTTTTAGACCAGAAGTATGTTTTTCACTAGTCGAAGAACCAGAGTTCTTATTCGTAATATATGACATTTCAGAATTAAGGTAATTTAATTTTAAAGGTGGTTTCGCCCTTTTGTGACTGTGTGATGATGTTTTATCAATATTTGTGTCCACTAGCGGGTAATTATGAGCATTAAGAATGGACGTTTTTTGTAAATTGGAACGCAAAACATCGTACTTATCAGTGCTGTGGCATTCAAATGCTAACATATCATTGATGTCAGTTGAAACTTGTGACTTTGCTAGGTCATTGATTTTACTAGACAAAACATGTTCCTGCTTTGAGCTCTTATAATTTTTTAAATTCTCAAATACACTTTCATTATCTATTTCAAAGTTTAGATCACGTATCAATTTTTTGTCAAGCATAGTTCGTGAAGTATTTTCTGTCCCAAAATTTTTGAAGGTTATACCAATATCTCTATCTTGGAGCATTTTTGCTCTTAGCTTTTCTTTACGCTTTTTTGATGCAGAATTTACTCCATGAATTTGTCGTATGCTCTTTTTTAAAAACACATCACCATTGCTTACGTCATCATTTGAATTCGAAGGTAGGCTATTAATATTCTCAATTGAATTATAGAACAAATCCCAACTAGTTCGATTTTTTGATGTGCATTTGTAAATACAATATTCTTGATAGAATTCAGATAAGTTGTAGAGCTCAGGCATTGATGTATAAGTTGACAAAAAACTATTATCATCTGGTTCAGCGTCATAAAAAGGCCCGATGGGTTTAAGGTATGGTGTCCGATAAATTGTATTCTGTAGACTGTCACTGCGCTTGGAAGAAATATTTTGGCCTGAGGATGATCTAACACTAAATTTGCGATTAACTTTCAGCTTATTTTGACTCGCCATATCTATGGTTTCCATATTTTCACACAAAATGGGTGCGTTTTGAAATTGTTCATTGTAAAGCTGACCGATAGAATTTTTCTCTTCATCTAAGCATTCATCTTGAAGGACATTATTTTGATGAGGAAAACTATCATGATATGGAGCATTGTTACAGTTTTCATTGCATTTTAGAGTTCTTTCATCAAATTCAACATCATTCAAGTTAGAACTTAACGGAAGTTTACTTAGTTCACTTATTCTTAAAGAGTTTGTTATCTGTGCAGATAAACACGAATTTGTAACAGTTACATCTCTTTCAAAAGGATTCCTATCCAAACACGCTTTATTACAATTTATTCCAGAGTTGTTAAAATCACCTTTTGTCCAACTGGTTAGAGTTTCGTTGTTTACGGAAGAATTTAGATTATCATATTCAAAGGATTCTAAGGAATGGTATTTCTTATGTTTATTTAAACAACCACAAATATCACTAGTGCTTGGATATTTTGGACAAATATCGTTCGGAGAATTTTTTCTATTGTAATATGGCAGTGTACCATGATTTTGTAAAAGGTCTTCTGTTATTTGAGGAGCATTACCGTTCATAACGTCTGAATTCGAAACATCAGGTACGTTCTGATTTTCTGGTTGGTAGATATTAGGCTTTACGGTTTCAATCTTTAATACAGAGGATTCTAAAAAATAATCTATTATCTTTTCTGCTTCACTAACTGACATTTCCATTTCTTTAATCTCTTCGAGAGTTTGAAAGGTGTCAAATGAGGAACTGCACGTGGCTGTTGTTTTAGATCTTGCTAAGTTTAGTTTCCTTATTTTGCCTTCTTTAGCAATATCCTGCAAGGATATTGTTTGACTTTTTAAATCTGAACAAGATTTTACTTCTTTACTCGACCACAGAGAAGGGATAGTTTTAAACGCATCACTTAAAGATCTAATTAATCGTTTGGGTTTCTTTCGCTTTTGGTGGTGCAGAGGTTTTGGAATTTTTTCAGTAGAATGGCACCAAAGTTTTGTTTCGTCAATTAGTTTTGTCTGATGATCAAGAGGTATGTCTATTTGTTCATCAATATTTAAAAGTTCAATATAGTTGTCATCTACTTTTTTCTGGATTGAGTCATCCTGCAAAGTAAGAACATAATAAAAATCACATTCATTATTACGAGTTCTAAATACATAATTTAAGTCATATATTAAAATACTTCTTGAAATATTAAGATATATTTTGAAACATTTTAACTACGAGAGATTAAATTGAAATAAACTCTGAGAAGATTTATAAACAAAAAAATAAAGCTAATTTTATTGCATCAAGAGTAACGAGTTACGATGGAACAAATGGTTTTTCACAACCTTATAGGAGCTAGTCCTTACGCTGAAATGAAGTAAAACCAAAGTTCAGCCAACGCAAGTATTTAATTTAATTAAAACACCTTTTATTCCTAAAATAATAATAGGAGATCTACGGCTGCAGAAGCTGTTTTTAAAAAGGTATGTAAGTGTTTAAATAAACAAAATTACAAAATCACTGAAAATTGTTTTATGAGCAACAGTTATCATAATGTAAAAACTATTTTTTTGAATAGAATAAACACAAAACCATTTCTACTCATTAATTTTATAGTATTTTTTATTTTATATTATCTCTTATTTTTGCGCCATTTTATTCTTCACTTAACCCCATATTTGAAATGATTATGTTCTACCATATAATATATAATTAATCCATTCTGTACTGATTTTAATTGAACTATCTTAACTTTATTTAACTTTTAAATCAGTGATGTTGAAATCTAGATGTATTTAATTTGTTTCAGATTAATCTGTTTATAGAAGTTTTAATTCAACCAGTTCACCGATGCTCTCCACCGTATTTGATCCACCGCTTTATGTTTACTAATTTTGATCTCAGCGTCATCCAAGTCTAAACAAAGTATATTTTTAAGGCAATTTCATTATATTTTATTTTTTAATTTTATATCCGTCATTGAACAACCGACGCCAATTTGGGTTTACGGCTATTAATGTTCAACTCCGTAGCCTTGTAATTTTGAACCTAATCCAGAAGAAAAGGGAACTCCTGGATCAAGTATTGGGAGAAATTTGCCTTCGTGGAGGACTTTTTGATGGAACCAAACCCCATTTGCGTTACATGGAGAATAAAACCACGAGAATCTCGCATGATAAGCCTGACGACAAGGGGACTCTAACCCATGATCAGTCTAACACTGGGGACATTTCACTTCAGCACTGTAGTCGGTGCAAGCAGGATGTAAAATTCGTACCGACCAGCCATCGCTAAGATTCGAACCCGGTTCACTTCATTCGAAGGCTAGCGCTCTATCCTCTGAAGCATAGCGAGAATTGCATTATAGTGCATGTTGAGTTAACGTTTTCTGTGTTATTTTTAAAACTTCTAATAATTTAGAGAAATGTGTACTTTCTCATATTCTTCCCTCATTTGAAAAATTAGAGAAGTTTTCCTGAATTTAAGTAACCCTATAAATTAGTTTTAGTATTATTATTACCCAAGCTATTGCTGTGTTTTCTGTTTGATATAATTGATGACCATATTCTTCAGTAGGAGAAGTCACAATAGCTGAGTCCACCATGTCCCTAGCTGTATTGTTGGATATACAATCCGCACCAGTGGTGGAAAGTCGCCGAAATGCGTTGCGGACAAAGTTGTAACAATATTGCATGGGAACTGAATGCTGAGAGTTTGGCACACCATTGGAATATTGAAAATCACAATCAAGACTTTTAGATTTTTTATCAGCAGCAAGGTTTTGCTTAGTGTTGAGAAATCTTTGGGAATGGTTTATTTTGGAAATAATGTTTTGGTCTTCCTCATCATCACTGGAAGGTAAACTGATAGAATCACCACTTTCATCTCCAAGGTCACCTTCACCACTATCCTGTGTCAGGAGGGAGTCTTCTGAAACAAGAAAAAATAATATTTCCTTTATTCAATAAATATTAATTTACGTAAAGAGATACTGGTTAAGAAGCTGCTATTTTAAGAAGTTGCATTTTAATATTACCTATCCTATGAGGTTTATAAAATATATGTTATAATAAAGATATAATAGTTAAAATACAAATGGTTAATATGGTGGCCAACATTCTTTCTGATATTAATACCTAGTATTTTATTGTAAATGTCTGTTATTTACTTACGTTACGCATGTGTTGCTCTCTAATTTGAAATTATCAACATATACATATCACATTAGTAAAACAGTAGTAGTAAAATTTATTATCTTTAGTAACAATTTATAAAAAAATAATTGTATTTTTATTGACTATGCAGGGTTCTATACATTAAAGTGAGCCCTTGGCTTAATATATGCACTTTTATTTAAATTACAATGTTTTAAACGAAGAAAGAAAAGAGAAGATTATTACTTAAAAGATCTTTGATTAATTTACCTTTTGTTTTCTTCACTTTTATCACATCGTACCAAGGCATTAGGACATCTTGAGTATGCTGAAATAAATAAATTTGTATATAGCGGTTAATTGAATGTCTCTTATTTAAAAAGAGTGTATGCTAAATATTATTTATATTTTCAAGATTTAGTTTCGCATAAATAGGTTATATTTTCATCTATGCGAATGCTGAATTTAAATTTATTTTCATGCAAGATATTTTTATCATTAAAATTACCTGAGGGTCCCGCATTCGAACTGTTATTAAAATTTTTCCACCTATTCTCATCACTCTTGCTAATTCTTGCAGAGCTTGGATTCTTCTTTGTTTTGAAGACAAGTGATGAATCACACCAACGCTAAGGACACCATCAATTGACTCAGTTCTTAGCGGCAGATATAAATTGTTTCCCAAAATGGCCTCATGACATCGTTGCCGGACAAGTTGTGTTTGCTGAATGCTATAGTCAGCACCAACAGAATAGAATCCTTTATCGTTCCTCAAATGCCGACCATCACCACAACCTAGAAGACAGAATAACCTCGATTAAAAGTTTAAATTAAACTGTGAAGAATAAGGCTTAAGTGTGCTGAAACCATATATATATAACCCCATTTGCGNTATATATATATATATATATATATATATATATATATATATATATATATATATATATATATATATATATATATATATATATATATATATATATATATATATATATATATATATATATATATATATATATATATATATATATATATATATATATATATATATATATATATATATATATATATATATATATATATATATATATATATATATATATATATATATATATATATATATATATATATATATATATATATATATATATATATATATATATATATATATATATATATATATATATATATATATATATATATATATATATATATATATATATATATATATATATATATATATATATATATATATATATATATATATATATATATATATATATATATATATATATATATATATATATATATATATATATATATATATATATATATATATATATATATATATATATATATATATATTCTAATATTCATCACTCTCAGATAACTACTTATTTTTAAAATATAATAAAAAAATTATACTCTTAATATCAAATTTGTTTTTAGATTTATTGGTGATTTAATTATCTTAATTTTCCAAATTATACAGTTTTTTTTTAAGTAATATTTATCCCGAGGAATAAATTTTGCTTCGTAATCATGTCGATAATATTAATTTAAATTTTTTTTTGGATTTGAGTATTAAAGAGAAGAAAATATCTGCATTGTTGATTTATACGATAAAAGAAATAATTTTAATATAAGTAAACTAATTACATGGAATTCTAATGTTTCTAAAAACATTTATTTAAATCCCTTTTTTGATCAAATTAATAGAATTAAAAGAACTTGAAGTAATGTTTGTTTATCGAAAAAACAAATAGACGAACTCTTCCAAAATTTAATAAAAAACAATGAATATCCAACTAATGTAATTAAATTTGTATATGGAATTGTTCAGTTGATCGCTTGTTATAATTAAAAATTTCTTAACTAAATTTATATTTTTACTAAGTGCAAATCCGTGGCAAAAAATTTTCTAATATTTAATAAATACTTTTTAAAATTTTTTTCATTAAATGTTTATAATTTCTGAAGAATTATCAATATAAAAAATATAGTTAAATTTTAAACTTACAAATATTACAATTTTATAACTAAAATTCAGCTTTATTAATCTTATTTAATAACCCTCGTTGATCAGCCGACAAAATTGTTTGGGTTTACGACTACTAATGTTCAACTCCGTAGTCTCGTAATTTTGAACCCAATCCAGAAGACAAGGGAACTTCTGAATCAAGCTTTGGGAGAAATTTGCCTTCATGGAGGACTTTTTGATGGAACTAACCCGCATTTGCGTTACATGGTAAGTAAATCCCCGAAAACTTCCCCCGGTTAGCCAGACGGCAAGGAGTCTCTAACCCAATCTTATTAATTTATTAATTATAAATTTTGAATTATCCAGTATAATATTATTACTTTGCGCACATTCAGATTCGGGGCAATTCAAGGTAACTAACAAATCAAATTCTGTACTTCAGAAAGAATGCGCCATAAGTTGATTTCAACGTTTTCTATTTATGCTTTTATTTTAATATTTAGTAATTTGGCAAACTTGCAGAAATGCAAACATGCACCAGACAGTGGTGAAATATGTTTGAGTGGTAGTCTTTTAATCAGTGATTCTTGTTTTAGAAAATTCGATTTATAGGACTTTCACTCACTACTACTTCTAAATAATTCAAAAGCTTATTTAAAACGTCCCCTTGTTACAGTTAAGAAGCGTGTAGCCTCTTAAAAAATTAGAAAAATTTACCGAAAAAATGCAAATTTTTGTTTCAAGTTTTCTAACGTTTTTTAAGACATTTTGTTCAATCCGGAGCAGTTGGCATCTCTGAAAATGTTACGAAAGCACTTTAAATCATTTTTCAAAAATGAAGATAAGTGTAAGTACTTTTGAATCCGCTACTCGCTTAATATATATATTACATCTTGTGTTTTATTGCGCATTATCTAGATTTTTTTATTTTCAACTGTTTTTTTGATTGTTTTATTTTGCATTATTTTGCGTAATCTTAAATTTTTTGCTTAATAAATTCTATTAATACAATATTAGAAACCACTTTTTTCGGATATAATAGTGTGAGCTGATGACGATATATATATATATATATAGTTACATGCTGAGGTGCATTAGAGAATATTAAGGTAGTTATCTTATTTTTCATAGAATATATTTCAGTTTTTTTTTGCTGCTATCTTATCACGTAGAACTTAAGTGGCAAGATAACAGTAAAATAACTGGATATGACCGTGTTAATTATGCATTATGCATTGAAATATTTGTAAAATTAAATAAGGTGAAACTACTGCAGATAAAAAGCTTTCAATCGAATTATGGCTTTTGTATGACAATGCAGTGTCCACGCTTGGTTATGAATCTTTATTGCAAATTTATGATGTTCTTTTTATGAGGTTTTGCATGAGTTTTAGACAATTTACGAGATCTCGTTCTGAGTCCTTAATATAGGTATTGGTGATTATATTATGAAACAGAGTTTTCTTTCTTAGCGGATTGCAAAAAAACAAAAAACAATGCGAGTCATAAAATAAGTGAAGACATTTTAGGTAAGGCTGTTGAGAATGAAAAACTCTTCTTAATATTTTTAAGAAACATTTTAATCATTTTCATTTTAATCGAAAATTAACTATAAATGCACTAAAAATACTTGTTTACCTGAGTATATTAATGTCTGTAAAAGAAAAATTTAAGTAAAACAAGACATATTGATCAATTTCGTGATGAATCTCTTGAGATTTTCAGAACTGTATCAAAGCATCGCAAATATTTTACTTATTACTGTTACAATTGTTTGGTGCCACTCTTTTTTACAAACTGTGTGGTATTTTATGTTCAAACTGGCGCTTTGTATTTCTAAATCATCACAATTTTATGTTGTTTTTTTTAAAATAATTGCTGTCAAAAATTGCATTCAAATAAGCACTTCAAAAGGCTTAGATTTAGCTTCAATGATTTGGAGACTATCTTGCCGAGCTAGACCAAATTGATAGTTTAACTATTAAATTAAGATAAATCATCTACTTACAGGTCTATTTTAATGCAATTTTTTGCCGATAATTTTTCGAAAACTAATATTTAAGATATTTTCCATATTTGAAAATACTCAATCAACATGAACTATCCGTCTATGAATATTTCACACCCTTAGCAGCCTATGATGACATTTCCAGTTATGGGTTACTGAGCAATTTTCAATCATTATGATGCCCCCCCCCTCCACTTTCTCTAAAGGTTAGAAACTTCCTGTATAATTTTAGGAAACTATTTTCACGATTCGTGAAATATTCCTTTTTTTTGTCTGATTACTATAAATTCAAATTAAGTTTCAGCAAATGTTTACTCCCTCTCAAACTAATACTCTTAGAGCAATCTTATGAGATCTTAAGTTGCATCAGGGAATTAAATTTCTCACTCCGATCTTTCTAGAAAAAAAAGAGTAGAATGTAGACTGCATGACAATGATACATTGTGATTTGCATAGAAATTAGTCTCCTCAAGTAAAAGCAAAACGAAAGTAAAATCGCTTAATTATAAAGTCTTAACTTGTCGCCTTTTGATGAAGGTTATTAGAATAGGAAAACTATGTCATTTAAAACCTAACCAACAAAGTTTTTAACTTAAAGTTAATCAGTAGCTTATATGAATAAGAATATTTAATCCAACAAAGGAGAATTAAATATAATTAGAACGAAAGATTAATCATTAGAAATATCTTTCCTTCAATACAAAGGTGCATATCCACCTTGGGGACACCTCTCACATTTAAATAAACCGACCCATTTTAGGAAACATAAAAAAGCGTATAGTAAATGCATTTTTTTATTTCAGTTACAGATTTTTTATGTCATTCTTAATCACAATGAAAATCTCTTCAAGCATCATTTTAAATATGTTTCGAAGTTGTTTGGCTATGGAAACCAAAAAAGCTACATTTTAAGAGCCTTACATTTCAATCAAAGCTATAATTTTAAACAAAACATACCGTTTTTCCCTAAAGAATTATGCAGAACAGTCAAGAACAGTAATAAGACATTAAAAAACGGACAAGTAACTTGAATATTTTAAAAATTAGTAAACTTCCTTAAAAAATCGAAATTTGGCGAGATTTTTTCACCTAGATGAATATTATCAACACCAATGAACAACTTTCAATTTCTGCAAATTTCAGTGATTGCAGATAACACAGCGTTGGAGCAACTTCTTAAATTTGTTAAAGAATTAGATGACAAACGCTTTCCATTTTCAGAAAACTGTGGCTCTTCATCATTTGATGCATCATTTACATAATTAGTATAGAGGGCGCTGACTAAAGCTAGCTAAATTAGTGTCGTATGGGTGTTGAGTGTCGAGTGTCGTATAGTAAATAGTGTTGAGTGTCGTATGGGTCATTTGGAAAGTTATATTATTGATTTTGTGAACCAATTTTACCGTAAACTGTGATTTATATGAAAAAAATATCTTTACCACATTTTAGCAGCCTCCTTACGGATTTAACAAAAATTTCTAGATATGGCATTATTATGCTTTTCCGTTTAACTAAAAACTTAATGCGAATAAGTTTTGGCGTAGTTTTTCAAGAATAAGCAGGAAAAAAAATTGTGTTCGTAATACAAATTTTTCTGCGTAAGCGAATCTCTAAGAATTAAACAAATTGTTCCAAGAAACTGAAGCGGTAAGATATTACTTGATCGAAAAAATTTTATCGCTTCAAAAAAAGACAAATTGGAAATAACAGTCAAGTGCTAGAGAAATAGGCGCCAACTTTCTAGACTTTCCAGAAGTGAATGAGAAGAAACAAAAGATATTTGAAATATGAAACCTAAAGTTGCCA